TTGAAAATCTTATTGTTAATAATCGTAGATTTTTAGGAGGGAAAAATTATCGATTGTCTGCTCTCGCCTTGGTGAGTAAAAAAGTCTGTCATTTTTTTTGTAAATTAGCCATCGAATAACTTATTGGTACTCTGTTAAAACTTATAAAAGTTTCGGGCGATTTTCGTCAACCACATTAAGAAATCACCAAAATATAAGATGTTATCTCAACATTAGTTTGAAGTGAACTCCCACAAAATTCGCTAAGTACTTCCCAAGTCCTACTTATCCATTGGAAGAACTAGAGTGTGAAGATAACGAAACTAATATTAAGCTTAGAGACAAACTTGATAATCAAGTAGTCGGCGACTTGACAAACTGCACTTGTTGTTTCCCAAACTAGCTACTTTCTAACAATGATAATGTTCCCGTGTTCGCACGTAAACGAGTTGAGAACTCGCTAATTATAACTTGCTATGTTCGTGATTATTATGTTTTTGTAGTTTTTTCTAGATATTTTCCCTCTGTGCAAACGTAATGTTATAATAGTATCAACTCTGTCTTAATATCAACTGGGCTTTTGTATTTAGAAAGTGCGTTTTAAATATATTTATTTATTTTATTTATACTTCTGTATATAATATAAGACGGCGGACTTAATGCCGGGCGGCATTCTCTAACAGTCAACCAAGGGGTGATGCAGAGATGTGCAATAATAGGTGTAATAGGTGTTACGATTTAATTTATGTGACACAGTACAAATACCACTAAATTATCGAAAGGTTAAAGCAACTGGTAACCATGAAGAACGATGTGTATTTTGTTCGATTTTCCCTAGTTGCGTGGTAGATTATTAGTTTATATGGCGATATGGCAGTCACACACATTAATTATACCTAATAATAAAGAAATTGCAGTAAGGAACCTTAGACTTGGCACGACTGTCTAGATTTTATTACTCTTTAGAGATGAACTTTAACTTTAGAAATAAAATAGTCGTGGTAGCCCGGAGGTTTAAGACGCCCACTTCTCATGCATGAGGGTGCGGGTTCGAAACCTACCAACGGCCAGTGGCGTGCACAGATTTTCGAGACAGGGTAGGCAACTAAATATCGTATGATTAAAGCCCTCCCCCCTGGTCATACAATCATACTCCCACAAGACAGGTACATGTACAGAATACATTTTGAAAAGTGCGTTCAATAATATTGTGGTTTATTCTTTCGCCAAATTACATACACTGACATCTCGCGTATTTTTTGTAAAGTACTTCATCAGCTATCGAATAAGCCAACAAAACTTACAAATAATGAAGCATCTATTTATTATAGGTACTAATAATGAATCATAAATTTGATGAACCAAATTCAATTATCAAATTGCTAAATAATCTATTTAAAATCATAATTACGAATTTAAGAACGTAGATACCTACCAACAAACAAAACAACAAGAAGCGCGGCCGGCTGTGGCCGAGCCGAGTATAAGCGGTACATTTGTTATTACATTACATAATTATTAATAATAAATTAATATGTAAATCAAAACAACCCGAGGTATAAGTTGATATTTTTAAGAATTATCAATCAATAAACAAGAACATCATGTAAAAGATCCATTATAGTACCTACATATTTACATTACCTACCTTTGACTTGGGTCAATTCTCGTAACTTGAGTTCTGCCTATGGTCATTACCTGAATCTAGTCGTTATAGGACACATTTTTGCGAAAACTTACTGTTTTTAACTTTAAACAAACACAAAAAATTACCTATTATCAACACAAACTTCACAATCGAATAATATACTAGACATGATAAACAAATACACTATTTGAAAAACCGACACATATATTTTACTACTTCTACACATATTTATGCAACTTTATGTTTAAAACTAATTCCTTATAATTTAAACGAAAACATAAACAAAGCGATCGCACATCATGAAAACAATATGGCCGAAAACATTGGAAAGTCATTACCCATCGTAGTCAATTGAGTGTTTATTATAAAAAAATTATAGCTAAAACATTAAGGCAACCAGTGTTTAATTATAAAAAAAAACAAAACGTTAATTTACATAAGTCAAATGGAATTGCATCATTGTCTTATTATTATTTTCCAATAAGAAACATTCGTTGATAATAATTTGAAACTTTGAGTAGCGGCAACTTGACGTTTCGATAACTTCCTTTTAACTTTTAAAATAATAAAGTCAACTCCTCGTTTAAAGTTTCTATAAAGCGACAACGCGTAAAAATGTTAAGATTTAATTAAAACACCTGAAACATATTTTTTTAGTATGCATAATTATAAAAAGACATTCCATTATTTATTCAGAAGTTTTAACAAAAAATTCAATAGATGGCGCAGATTCACAAATTTAAAGTCCGGCTAGATTGAATCGTGTAATAATTTTTTGCGTTTATGAATGGTTATTCTGTGCTGTGACCATAGTCACGTGACCTTCACGCATGCGCGTTGCATACTTTTTGTGACGTCACAACCAACAACCAAGATTTAAGGAATAGCAGCGCATGCGTGATGCGTGCGGCGCGCATTCATTGCTTTACAAAGGCGTGCGGTCCGTGTATAGTATATGTGAATGTATATTTATGTTAGCCGTTTTTTTACAAACTTTTATTATATTATTGAATCTTAATAAACGCGTTAGTACATTTTATGTCAAGCAAAGCCTATTTGCCTATATGGACTGCACGCCACTGCCAACGGCAAGTACCAATGTGACTTTTTCCGAGTTATATGTACTTTCTAAGATTATTTAGACACCACTGACAACCGGTGAAGGAAAAACATCGTGAGGAAACCTGGACTTATAATTTCTAATTATAAGTTGGAAATCGCCAACCCGCATTGAGCAAGCGTGGTGATTAATGCTCTAACCTTCTCCGTGTGAGAAGAGGCTTTGCTCAGCAGTGGGCATTTATAGGCTGTTGATGATGATGATGAGAGATGAACTAGCGACTCCATTGAGGCTTGGATAGTTTTGTACAGAATGTTTTTGGTTTTGAATCGGTTTTTAAAATTCTTTATGTTTTGTTTAGCCTGATATCGTATCTAGAATTTGGCGATGGACGTATTAAACATTACACTTTATACTTATTTTTCATTTAACTGCCGAAGGTTTTTTTTCTCTTAAAATATAACAAGAGTCTTTAAATCTTTTAATGCCAGACATATCGTGACCATGAGAATTATTGAAGTAGCGAGAAATATTAGGATCTATCCAAACTATATACGAACTCATAGATCTTTACAACACCTACACAGTATGGTTTGGACGAAAAGACATAAAGAGTGAAAAGTGGGTGTTGCATTGTGCAGTGGCATTAAGTGCCGTAGTGTGCACCTCTGCCTTCCTCTTCGGGGATAAAAGACGTGATATTATAAAGTTATAGAATTAAGCAATGATAAAATTTGTTTGACTTAGGGCCAGACTACTTTGTAGGAGATGTTGATGGTAACCACCAGAGTAAATTTTGAGACATAAATCCCGCGTTCCTCTCCCTTAAAGATTTAATCCTTATTGTTTCGTGAGAAATATTGTATTGGGATTCTATCGAGTATTGTATGTTAACCAGCTTGAACTGGTTAAATCTATTCCCAGTATTTTTCACAATTGCATTGTATTGCAATTCAATACTATGATAGGCAATTAAATGCCAATGGTAATACTCTTAATTCCAATCGACCTAATCGGCCTAAACATGGAATATTCGAATTTACCAACATTCGATGAAATTGAATGAAAATGCCCATTCAGTTGTATCAGTCTAATTTATTTGATCCCTATGGAGTTATAAACTGGACCTATCTGAGGACACAATTAACAAAATTGTGTCTGTGTTTTATCTCATATTATACGCAGTGAACTGTAAAAGATACGACCAGGGTTAAAAGCGAAATTTATTACTCTATAAAAATGTTATGGGTCCATAAAAATCGATCTTTTAATTGGTACACAAAAAATTCGGTGATTAATGAAAATAGCCTTTGATTTGTGATCGAAATCTCTATCTAACTGAATGAACCGTATACTTATATTGCTAAAATAATCCAAAAATTATTCTAGAAATTCAAGTTTAGTTAAATACTTTTATTTGATTTTGAAATTTATATTTTCTTTGTAGTAACACAGTCTTGGAGTTTTCATCAATATATCTACATAATTAAAAATGAATTTCCGTTTGTTAGTCTCCCTAAAACTTGAGAACGGCTGAACCGATTTGGCTAAGTTTGTTTTTGAAATCTTCGTGGAAGTTTTTTTTTAGTGAGTGTCGACCACCCCGTTCCTACTCCTGCACTTCGAGCCGGAGCCCCGGTATCCGCGGCTCTGTATCGGCATCAGCCCTATTGGGCCCATCCGTGGTGGTCTGATAGCTCTTTGAGGCTCGTGCGGAACACGACGCGCCGTACGCTCGGGTCTGGTTTTGGTCGGGCGGCGGGCCACCCATGCTCATGGAATGCTGCACCATAAAAGTCCATGGAAGGTTTAAAAGGTGAGAGAAAACAAAAATTAAGCGGTACGAAGTTTGCCGGATCAGCTAGTATGAAATAAACATGTTCCTGCAACAGACTCCACTAACTGAGTTATGTTAAAGTTTTAAAATATCAAACACCGCGAGGACACCGGTGACCGCAACCTATTGTTTTTTAATTGTGTCTATAATGACGGTACTCAAAGGATTAAACACTGAAATTCTCAATGAATTATTGGGCTTACAGCTCTGACCACTCTTTACTGCTTTTAAGTTAAAAACATTACCTATCTATAACATTTCCCTCACAAAAATTACTATTAATGCCTGTATGCATTAATACAAACAGGACATGTCGTGACACGTCACGTCGAAAATCCCTGATCCGTTTACTGGTGATAAAATATTTTTGTTTTACCTTTTAAGGTCAGTTTTCAATAAATCATTCACGTTTTGGTTACGAGCACTCCGGTATAATCCTTTTAAAACCCTATAAATGGAGAAGAGTTTAAACGAACCTGAGTTGAAACCGATACGCCGGGGCTGGCGCCGCCACCTGCAAAAAAGAAAACACTCTATTAATATAGTCACAAAATGCATTTCGGATTAAAACATTTACATTTTACGTTGAGATTAAACAAAATAATTAGTTGTATGTCATTTATTTATATCTAAAAATTTTTTTTAACTCTCTTTTGTAGTTTACATCGTCATATAATTAGGTTCGTTGTAGTTACATAATTATAAATTACTAGCTGTGCCCGAAACTTCCTCCGCGTTGAATAGTGATTTATGGCTCCTCCTCTTATGTGATAGCGTGATAATATATAGCCTATATGTTGACCTGATCTGTTAGTAAAATTCATGCAAAATTCAGAGTAAATCCATGTAGTACCTCTTGAGTTAATCCCGGACATATACAGACAAACAGACAAAAATTCTAAATACCATATTCTTCGGTATCGATTGTTGATCACGCGCCAATCATTCTTTAAAAAAATATTCAATGTACAGTTTTCACTCTCCTATGATTTTATTATACATGTATAGATTATAATGTTTTTGTAGAAAATTAATTAACCTAGAAACACTTTATTCATTAAAACTGTGTTAATCTGTTTAAGCCGAAAAGTGCATTACCTTCCCCGAAACTAGATTAAAAGCAAATTGCATCATAATAATTTGTATCGGACACTAATTGATCACCATTATTATATTTTGCTCGCGCCAAAACCTTTCGCAACAACGTTTTAATTTAATTGCATGAGATAGGTATTATAATGACCATTTTTTTAAGGGTGGAAAATCATCGAATGACTGCTCCCGCCTGGGTGAGGCGGGAAGGAGTGTCAGACTCTTATTGACTAAAAACCACCCCGTTCCTACTCCTACACTTCGAGCCGGAGCCCCGGCAACCCGTTAAGTCCTCCGCGGCTCCGTATCGGCATCAGGCCTATTGGGCCCCATCCATGGTGGTCTGATGGCTCTTTGACGCGCGCGTGGAACGCTACGCGCCGCACGTTCGGGTCTGCTTCTGGTCGGGCGGCGAGCTACCCATGCTCGCCGTCCGCAGGCCCGTGCTTATGGTGGCCGGAAATCGTCCCGCGATCCCCAACGCCCGGAGTGTCCTTCGCGACGGCTGCGCTGTGAGGAGGCAGCGCTTCGTTGCCTCATGCACCCCGCCTCCTCCTTAGCTAGCATGACTGCTTCGCAAAAGGAAAAGACGTCATCCCAGGCTACTTTATGTACCACAGGAACGCAGTGGAAGTCGCAGAAGGTAGTATTAATATAATTGTAAATAAACGTAGTCCTATTTCAGAAAACGATACTCAAACCGCAGGTACTATTACAGCATTCAATTCGCAACCGTTTCCATTATCCTACAGAAAATATTGACTGTCACAAAGCCTATTCTATTCTAGGTTTACTCTATTAAGTTTGTGTGCTTGAGGAAACCCAATATTGTCTTAAGTAACTAAATAGCTTGGAGTGTAGTAGTTATGGATCAAAGACGGCATGTTTCATGAAGATTCATCTATATTTTCATAATTGCCATCTGGTTTGATTTCTCACATTTTTAACAGAATCGGAAATAAGTACTTTATATTAGTCAAGTAAAAAAATTGACTAACTAGAAAGTAGGTACAGATAGAATAATAACCAATGTTTACAAAGGATTCATTTTCTTCAATACAATACAGTGTAGTACATGAATATCTACTATTTGTGAACTGAATGAATCATTTGTTTTTCCTGACTGAATGTATATAATTTACAACTTTGTTTTTAGCCTCCATGACATTCATGTATCAACATAGAACTTAAATGTTAGAAATATCTCTACATATTTCTTTTAATATTTGAGACGGTATGAAACTATAATTTACTGGAAATGCTTTTGATTGCAATACTTTTAGTGACCCAAGCTCGCTTGCATATTCAGAACTTATGTTAAGACTGTAAGCCACTAGTAAAACTATAGCCAAAGTAAAATATATGAAAAAACAAATGTGAAAAACAACTAGGTACGTTTCATTTCCTTTACGTATTCGACTTGAAAATGCGTATAGAAAAACAAAAATGATCCTCGGAAGTTTATTTAACGAATTTTTGACATCGATATTCGTAAAAATATACAGCTAGGATGGAGATAACTTCTTGTTAATACATACAAATTAAAACAAAAGAAAATCTTCATGTTTTCTCTTAAAATTTTCTTATTTCGTTCATGGAGTTTTCTACATGCTCTAATTTTCTGGATCTTATCATGATAAGATGATTCTTAGAATAAAGTTTAGGAAACGACAGCAACTGTTATTAGCAAAATCAATTCATCTTGTAAGTTATTAGAGATTTGCTTCCTAAATTACCTTTAGTTACTTTGAAACTCTCTGATTCACATGTTATTATAATTAAATCAATACAAGCTACATATCAATAGTGCCTAAACTGTCAAACACCGCGCGGTCACCGGTGACCGCAACCTATTGTTCTTTAATTGTGTCTATAATGACGGTACTCAAAGAGATAAAAAATGCTGATAAGCTCAAAGTAGGTATGTGTTCTATAAAAGTGCAGAATTAGGTCACACGCCCATCATCGATAAACAATAGAACTAAAGCTGCCACCACCAGCTGCACCCGACACATTCAATTTATTGTCATCGTTCCACTTAGACACAAATATCTCTTTAATATTGAAACAATTCAATACTTTTCAGATTTCACGGTTTAGTGAAAACTTTTCAATTTTTGTTATTATACGTAACTGCTGCTCGTGACTATGAGCTCCGGGAGTTGCTTGAAACCAATTGGGTTTTCTCGAAAACCTGTTGCGGGAGTAAGCCGTAAACATATTAGACTTTTATTTTAAGATTTCGGGATTGGTGCTCTCTTTACACGACATCAACGGCATTAAGTCCACCTTGTGTACATTTTGTGCATGAAGCTTACAAATAAACACAAATAAATAAATAAATCAATAAATGTGATAAACGTAAAAAATAAAAATAAAAAAACAGCAGACGATGAAAGTTACATGTAGTTTAAAATTAGTAATAACTACTGAATATATTTTGTTGAAGCGATTGTGTTGCGTCACACCAAAATATTGTATAGACGTTTAAATGTATTACAGCATTATATTTAAGGGTCGAAATATCAAAAGCAGTAAAGGGCCGGGTGGGTCCCACGTTCGTTCACCTGTCAGTTCCATGTAAGTGAGCATGAATACCGAATTCTCAATTTACGCAAGTTCGGTAACCGACGACAAGGTCGAACTCTTTGCTTTTGAAAATGGACAATGTTTGAATGTTGAGTTTCGGGTCTCGCGTTGGTCATTGTGTGGCCCGAGTTTTGTTATTAGCAAAAAGGAGGAGAGTGTCAAAACCTTTTTGCTAATTACGGGTTTTTAGTGTCAGCTGCGAATCTCATTGTTTTGTGTACTTTGCGGAATTTGACATTAATGACTCTTTGTGTTAGCTTTTGGATTATAATATAATATCTTATATTATGATTATGTTTTAATTTATTTAAAGCGTAGACGTGAAAGCGAAAGAAACGAATTTATAGTTGCGATTTTTTTTATCTTTCGAAAAGAAAAATATATCATGCCTTTCATACCCGAATAGGCAGAGGTCTTACTTAATGCCAGTGTACAATGTAGCACCCACTTTTCACTATTTATGTTATGAGTCCCATGTAATAGGGGGTTAAACCTATTGCCATATACCGGGCACATTTAGAGACTTCGTGCAACTACTACGAGATTTAAAAAAAAAACAGTACTTTGCTCGACCCGGGAATCAAACTCGAGACCCCTTGCCAGTCGCAGTTGCGACCGCTCGGCCAACGAGGCAGTCTTCTAAACACTCTTTCGATAAAACTATTATAAAATTACACGAAAAATAAATGTTCAAGATTACTTGCACCTTATTACACCGGAGAGCTCTAAAACTCTGCTTTTACATACTTCGTTGCAATAAACCAATACGATCGCGCAAAGGTAAGAACAAAAGTGCAAATCCCGATCTTTGCATATCATTTGAATGCAATATAAAAAGGAAAAGGAGACTGTGCAAGTATTTAGTTTTATTTTTAAATATGTTTGAGAATCGCACCAGGCTTTTTATATTTTCTTTCTTCTGAGAAATTTTACAAAAGAACTTGATTTCCACTAGATGAAAACCATCCAAAAATGGTGTTTATAAGATAGTTGGTAATTTCATTCACAACCTTCTTTAAACAAATAAAGATAAACATTGAAAAATATACTCTTGACACTGATTTGTGAATTTTAAACGTCATATCAATATGTCATGATGGCCCTGAGGTTTAAGATCCCCGCTGCTCATGCAAGAGGTTATGGGCTCCAATACCAATGTGACTTTTTCCAAATTATATGGACTTTCTAAGATTATTTATACACCACTGACAAACGGTGAAAGAAAAATATCATAAGGAAATCTGGGCTTATATTTTCTAATTATAAGTTTGAAATCGGCAACCCGCATTGAGCCAGCGTGGTAATTAATTATCAAATCTCCATGTGAGAATAGTCCTTTGGTCAGCACTGACCACTTATATGCTGTTTGTAGATTTGATATTGATAAAAATCCGTATCTCCAAAATAATAAAATATGGTATTAATAAACAGTCATAATTTTACATAAAAAAATCAATATTTATGTGGTCACCTTTTTTATACATACATATATCACCACTGACACACTTTTAAATTCTTATTGGCATATTAAGAAAAGTTGTTTACAAATAAAAATATCTGAAATGCACAAGAAATTCCGATTCTCCATCCAAAGATCGAAACGAAATAAAAATCCAATCGCAATTCCTTCTGCAAAAGGATAAAACCCATGTTCTATTTACTTTTAAAAATCACTACGGTGCGATTCTCTTTTCTATACCCCGAAAGTCTGTTCAGTCACGTACTGGATACACAAACTGTACTAGTGCACTCGACTAAGCAGCTAGCTTCTTCACAAAATGTTAAAGCCACTAGCTAACCGCTAAAACTAATTACTATAGTACGTGTGCATTCACTTGTACGTTCTATTATTTTAGTGTGTGTGTTCCAGTTTACAGTTTATTTGGCTCGAATATTTGGGATTTGGGCAGCGTTTTAGTGTTGGATTTTGTCTAATTAATGTTTTGTGCGGTTATCAAATGTTTTAATGTGTTCTGTGTTGTTTTTATAATAACTATCGTGGGACATACTAAATTAACTAAAATCGCGGGTTACTCACGTGAATATACTGAGAAAAGCTGTACCCCTCTGTGGTTCGAAACTAGTAGAGCTTTTCTCAGTATATTCATATTTACGTGAGTAACCCGCGATTTTAGTTAGTGTTCTG